TGTGGTGATATTAGAGGACACAGTTGTCCTGTAACTGGATGGTATAACCAATCACAGTCTTTATAGTGGCTGTTGTTAGAAAAAAGTAATAGATATGAGGAGTTGTCCTGTAACTGGATGGTATAACCAATCACAGTCTTTATAGTGGCTGTTGTTAGAACAAAGTTATAGATATGAGGAGTTGTCCTGTAACTGGATGGTATAACCAATCACAGTCTTTATAGTGGCTGTTGTTAGAACAAAGTTATAGATATGAGGAGTTGTACTGTAACTGGATGGTATAACCAATCACAGTCTTTATAGTGGCTGTTGTTAGAACAAAGTAATAGATATGAGGAGTTGTCCTGTAACTGGATGGTATAACCAATCACAGTCTTTAAAGTAGCTGTTGTTAGAAAAAAGTAATAGATATGAGGAGTTGTACTGCATGTGAATATCAAAAATAATTGTGAGTACATAATGTAATTCAATTATTGGGTTAAAATGTAACTAGCAAAGATGGTAAATGTATTTAGCAGTGCTAAGGACTTGCTATCTAATACTAGACTATACTGTTGGTGTAGTGTTAATGAATATGTATAGTTAAGATACCTATCTGAACAGGGTCAATGATACAAAGACAAAATCAATACTTCTACCTTCTTACTTAAATTCAATATTGATGTTTACCTTGATAAACTTGAGATCAATATTGATGTTTGCCTTCATAAACTTGATATCAGTATCGATGTTTACCTTGAAAAACTTGATATCAATATCGATGTTTACATTGATAAACTTGATATCAATATCGATGTTTACCTTGAAAAACTTGATATCAATATCGATGTTTACATTGATAAACTTGATATCAATATCGATGTTTACCTTAATAAACTTGATATCCATATCGATGTTTACCTTGATAAACTTGATATCAATATCGATGTTTACCTTGATAAACTTGATATCAATATCGATGTTTACCTTGATAAACTTGATATCAATATATTGTTGATGATAAGAGTACTTGATTATACGAGATCTGATAGACTATATTTTGACGGTCAAAATGTTTTCTTCATTTGAAGATATTTTGTCCCCATTATATATTCTGCATTAAAGCCTCTAGATGTGGCTATTTGGAGTATCAAATGTATTTCATCATTTTTAAATGTGAAAATAATTCTGTTTCAAATTATAAATACATAATTTAGGAAGTATTTAGGAAAGATATTAAAAATTTTGAATAAGTTATTTCAGTAAATATTGAATACATATATCCGATACAAGAAATCTTAATTTTATTTCTGCTGTTGAAATACTTTAGATCTTTTTAATATATATTCTGCCTAAAAGAAATTACAAAACCTGCAATGAGCAATATATGTTGTTTGAAAGATTTATATATGACAGTAAGTTGAAATATGGTTGATATTAATGTCATGTTGTAATAAATAACCTTGAGTAAATGCCTGTGATACTCTCACATATGTTAAACTAATTTTCGTCAGTAATGTTACGTTGACCTTGTCTTGTCATTTCTAGAACTGAAATAAGCATCTGTAAGGAAATCGCTCCCTGATCAATTCATGTTTTAAGCTAGAAATTTACATCATTGATCCCGTCAAAGATTATATGCCAGACAAATTCAAGAACGTTGTTATTTCAAATTAGTTGTAATTTTTTAGATTCAACTACTTAATGTTGTCATTTGGTGAAATAATACGTCAAACAGCTGATTGTGTTCTAGAATTACTAGACTATAGTGTTAACACAGTGTACACTTTTATTTGAATAAATGAATATTTTTTTGCATAATTTGGCATTAAAATGATAATAAACTTGGTTTTGAAAGAGAAGTTTATGATTCAAATCTGTGTTATTTTACACATATTTTAACAGTTTAAGCATTTCTAGCATTGATAAGATGTGTATCTTTCCCATCAGAATAATTTTAATACGTCTTTCTATTTCACCTGCCATCAGTGTGGTGTTGGGAGATATGCATCTCTTTATCTGTTTACTAGAAATATTATATTTGCTCTTTTGTGTGTGATTAAAGAAGTCATATTCGTGAGATTATATATACAAAAGACAGGTCTATTTTTAATTTTTTCAATGTTTTGTGTCAAAATATTACCGAATCTACAAATGGAATTAAAGCAATATTAACTTATCTCAATAAAAAAAACCGGAGAAATATTATGTACATTTATTTGTGTTATGTATGAAAATACATGAAATGTTGTCAGAATGGTATCATTCTTCAGAAGATTTTAAAATCTGAGTTTACCATCATAGATGTATTGATAACCAAAACTGAATTTTCTCAGTTGTTTGGTGGTGTTATTTCACACTTTAAGTAAGTGAAATGCTGTAGTTTCTTCTATCAGATGTAGGATTTAACAGTCTTGTGTAAATTTTTATCTTTCCTCGCATTAGAAAAAGGAGAAAAAAAAAAAAAAAAACCAAAGCTGAAAATCAATTTCCTTTCCTTTGTTGTAAAATGTCATTGTATTGTTATTTTTATCTGTTAGAATGAAGAGAAAAGAATGAAACATCTGAAAATTATGCTAAACATTTGTGTTTGGTGCAACCATCAACAAAATAGTCACTGATCATAGTGTTGAAAAAGAAAAGGATGATTCTGTATTTTGTTAAAAAGTCAATTAAGATGTGATTTTCTAGATTAGCACAGCAGAGTAGCAGCTATAGTCTGAAGCTTGCATTTCATTGTGCTAATCTTGATCTGAATAAAAAAAAACATGAATGAAATAACACCTCATTAAACGTTAATCTGGGGGAGGGATCTTTGGGGTGATGGGTGAGGTTATCAGCTAGGTGGTGTGGGCACTGTTATCAAACAAACCCCACATATTCTGTGTTGGCCAATGTTTAGTCATGTTACAACAAACTAGACAGTGTATGTGTTTTCGCCTGAAATCCATAATACCCATCTTTTGTGTTATAGGATGAAGTCCTATTTCATTATTTGATTTATGCTTGTTACTGCTTGCTAACGATTTCTGTTTGGGTAAAATATTAATTTTTCACATGTGTACTATTTATGATACTGAATTGTTACAGACCATGTAGATTAATAACTAGTTGAGTTAAAAGTCTTAAAATGTCTTATATAATCCAAGTTTGCAATATCTGCATATTTACTTACAAATATAACTACTAAAACCCTATTGGTAAATTTATGGTGGGGAAACATACATATGTAACTTTCAGGCAATGGAAATGAAATTTAAGTGCAGACTTTATCTTCCATTTGTAACATTTTAAACGTCAAGGATAACACATGAAAATCTCGACTCAGAACATAAATTTAATTTGATAGAGTTACATGTCTTTCATCAGCTTAGTCAATAAGAGTCCAGATCTTCACTTATTACTTTGCATGAACCACAATTTTGGAAAAAGTCTCAGATTTTTTCACTTTGATGATTTTCTCTTGTATATATAAACCTATCACAAGAATTTTGTGGCTTTGAGTTACTTCCCTTGCCAATGAATAATCCAACGCTTTGATACTGTACATTTACAATTTCAGAATTGCAAAACCAACAATACATAGAATTTTTAGCCCTGGACTTTGAATGTTTTTGCAATTACAATTAGACGGACAGCTGTAATTTTATGATATATTTTTATAGAAAAGATATTACATAATTAATATTATCTTGCAGTATTAATGAAAGGTTTTATCAGAAACAATAGCTTCCTAGATAATGCACAGCCCCTGTAAGTATATTATTAGTAGAAACACCTGTATGCTGAAAAATGGCCATGCCTTATGGAAAGGACAAAATCTTGTCATATTTGACAGATTAACACAACTTAAGACAGCAATGCACTGTCCCATACAGGTGTCTTAATTTGTGTTAATTTTGAAAACGTCTGTTCCAATGTGTGTCTGTGAAAGCTGAGTGGTTAAGCCTTTGACCAACTTTATCACTTGCCCTCTACCTCTGGGACACAGGTTTGAGAGCTACATGGGGCTGAAGGTACATGGTTTTTCTCTGGGAACTCCAGGTCTCTTTCACCAACAATACCTGGCACATCCTTAAGGATGCACTTCTCTGAGAAGTAAAAAAATTCCAGTTTTTACCTTCATTTCTGATGATGATTTTTTGAGAGGTTTGAGTTTAGAAAGTAGATTAAAAGAAAAAAGTCTATATGTTACTGCATTACCTTTTTTAAATAGATTTTCATCTTTCATTACAAAAAACGGTATGCTACTGAGATATAAAGAAAAACATCATGTGAAAATGCTAGGTTTTCATGTGATTTAACAAGCTTTAAACTGCATAACAACCAAACAATGAAAATGTTTAAAAATTACATGAAATTTTTGTTTGACCACCTTCTAGTATTTAACGTTTTTTAAGTGTAGAAGTTTTGATAGATAAATTTTCAAGGATTTTTTCCATGAGTTCAATAGAGCGAGTTTCTGTGGGTTTTTTTCGCAATTTTTACAATAGCCAGTTTTTCTAAGATCAAGAAACTAGTTGAAATATTTAGTTTTGAGTGCTAAAAATCCAGGAAAGTGGAAATTGAAATTTGTGATTGGTGGAGATGATCCCTGCAAAATTTAGTTGAGATCTATGGAAGTCTTCCAGAATTATATTCGAGAGAGAAACCATAGCAACCAGAAAACGTTAAAATTGCTGCAATAAACCAAATCACGCTGGCACGCAAAAAATGTAGTCCAAAGGCGAAATTTTTTAAAACATCATACAAATCGCCTATTTCCACCTTATAAGTACAGTGATAGATGACAAAATATGAAAGTCTACGATATTATGTTGAAATTCATTTTTTATAGAATGACGTCTTACTTTTGATCAAAACATCAGAGGAGTATATCCTTAAGTAACCAGGACTGTTTAAAGGATCTGAAGAAAAGCCATAAAAATTGCAATATTTATTCTTCGAAAATATTTTAAATTGATAAACATCATACTGCTTTTTAAAAGAAGTTTAAGATTACGTATGATATATGTTGACAGGTGGAGGTCACTGGCAGCAGTATATTTGACTATGTCCACGTCCAAGATCATCAAGAACTAGCTGAACATCTAGGGCTGGGATTTCCTCATGGTATGTATCCAAGGAAAACAGATATCCACTTTGTATTGGAAAAAAAAAACATGTTTCACAATTAGTTGCTGTGATTGTTGTCATGTATTATGTTAGAGCTGTTGATAGTCGTAATGCAAACTTTGTGGTGGACTTTGCCATTGTGAAACTAATGTACTTAAGCTGAGAAAAAGTTGATCAAATGATCATGACTCTGGGTGATTTTGAGGCAGGTTAGAAACTGACGTGGCTGACTCATTGACGACCAAGAAGGAGACATACTAAATGCTATTCAGAGTGATAGGGTTAAAGTGTCTTGCCCAAGCCCAAGGACACAAACTTTGTATTTGTTAATTACCTAAAGCTTTGTGAATTTTTATTACATAAATAAACACACCAATATGTTTTTGTACTGACTCTGTTGGCATCATATGTGAATGGAGTGACAGCATTATTCTGTAGTTAATCTCAATGGCGCTACAATTGTACTGACTAGTATGAGCGACAGTCTGCCGTATGACAGTGTTAGACATCTCTAAAGCCTGTTAAAGCCAGGAATTGAAGCAATCTTCTATTCACTGGGACGAGCTTGAGTGGTGAGCCTCGCAAATCTTAGATCTACTTAATTGGATTTCAGGAATCAATGCTGATTTGCTTATGTTTTCAAAAGTACATAAAATAGTACTTATTTGATTTCTTGGATTGGAGCAAATATTTACTTATACAAGCTGAAAGGAAAATTGGGTTAAAATCTGCATAGATGTTTAAGCAAGCTCAGTATAAATAAGCATGATGATATTAAAATGCATTCAAAAGTCAACAAAGATGAGGACAGAGATATTTATCTGTAGCATAATCACATTGCATATTTACACAACAGGGTACATCATATCAAAATAATTCAATAATCTCATAGATTTGCCTCGCGTTTTTCGTCAATAGACGTCATAGATTTAAACTTATGTAAATTAGGACGGGATTATTCCAAACTTAATTCCCTAACTTAATTCCATCGTGCACAGATATTGAACAAATCCAAATGCATGGGTTGGATGCAACTGGAACATTGTGTATACCACGGTAATCACTATTAACATATGGCATAAAATCTAGAGAAGCAATTTCCTTGCTTTATTGTGTTCAGTGTGTTCTAGAATATATTAGATAAATTTGTCAAAGTGTATTATGCAATGGTAACACTGGATTATGTTCCTGAATGAAAATTAGATGTCACAGTCAATTGGAATTTCTGACATGTTTACATTGTATTTTGAATTTTTAAGAAATAATTTGAATTCTAAAATATTTCTGTAAATTTTCATTTGCTTACCTTAATCTGCATTTTAGTATGCATGGGACATCATGAGAAGCTTATTAAATGGACTTGAGAGAATCATTATTAACTCAATTTTCAAACATTTAGTTTTCATTGCAATATTTTTGAGATTGATTTAAATTGTGATAGATGTAAATTTCAATTTTTGACTTAATGTATGTTAAAGACTTGTTTGTAAAATGTAATACTGGTGTAATATCTTTGTTTTATATGTCATCTTATGCTTTCTCCTATATCTTAAACTGAGACTGTTTGGTTATATAAGTCTTGATAAAGAAAAACCAAAAAGTCCCCGATTGTCAGATAGGACGTGTAATTATAATCAATATGTTAAACGAAGGATGTTGTTTGAAGTAGCTTGTGAAAACACAGACAGAACATCAGCATCAATGGTAGCCAGGGGCATCTTATGTTGTGTGCTTCACCACTTCCTTCTCCGGTGTGAAAAACAGGTATTAACATGTTGTTACGTCACCGATTGTTTTGATACACCCACCGGCTCCCACATCCAACAAGCCGTACCATACAAGAAAACATAACTTAATTGTTGTATGCAAGTTGGTGGCTAAACTAAATAACAAATACCAGAATGTTTAAAGCTAATCCACATTAGATCATTCCCTGTGTTAAAGCTATAAATCTGACTGCCCCGTTTTGTTGCCAGATATCTAGCCAGGTAATATACGATTGGAGTTTGACCTTAGGTCGCCCATTAATTAGGCATTGAACGAGGTCGTTAATGTGAAAATACATGAATGCCAGGACTTTCTAAGGCTGGGTGACACCAGGTGATGTCGGTAGTCATGGTTGGTGGGGTTTCTTTCCACATCAAAGTTGAACTAATGATCCTTCCTTGGCCTACCTGGGACGTAGCTATTTATGGGGAACTTCGATATCCAAGTGAAGACATTAGAATTTTTGTAGTATCCAATCCCATTGTACAGTGGTGCTATTGTCATTTGGAGCTTTATGTAAAAATCAAAACTACTTTTTCTGAAATATTTTTTCCCAACATCTCTGATTTAGATGTAAGTTGAGACTTTTTCATTTCTGATGTGTTGTTTTAACCAGATGCCATGTCAGATGGTTATAAAGTCAATTATCATTCAAGAATGCGATTTTACATATATGGCTTTGTAAGTGCAAGCGTGGAACAGTTGTATATAGATGTTGTTACCGTTCACAACTGAAGTGGAAACAATAAGCAATACATCACATAGGATAGAAGTCCTCTTAACCGGTAGGATTGTTAGCTGGTTCAGAGAAATTAGCTGGCATTTGTCAGTCATTCCTTTTAAAACCTATATCTCGTGTACAATTTGGACCAGAAACCAAATAATATGTTATCTGATAATAATGTAGTATAGTACATCATAACAATAAAATTACAACAGTAATAAAGTGATCGCCAAAAAGCTTGAAAAGGTTAGCAAAACCAGTGGTTTGTTTTGTTGCTATTTCATGTCTACAGATGTATGGGGATGAAGGGGTGTGGCGCCTAGGGAACTAGGGGTTTTAATCTTCACTGATATTTACGTAATTTTAAACAGAATACTGTTGTATCTAGATGAAGAATCTGCTCCTGCCCTAAAGGAGCAGAGGGATGGTGTACAATGGGGGAATTAGATTTTATTGGTAATGATTGTGTTAAGGGCTTTTGTGTTGATACGAATAATTTGTTATTGAAAATTATATGATAAAAGAGAGCAATAATACGCTTGTTTTCCAGAAAACGGTTGTGTTTAAAATGTCATTTTACTTTCATATAATTCAACGTTTTATAGAAACATTATCATCCTCAATTCTACCTAACAAGTTTATCAACAAATATCAAAATAATATGTTTTTAGACAAATCACATAGAAAGATTCCTTTATACTTCCTTGCTAATAGATTTGATTTAAGCATGGGATAAAAATCTCATTTGGTTTAAATATTAAGAGAAGAGCGATACAGGCCTTTGGTGGTTTCTCATTATTATAGTGAGATCTGCATGACCATCGAAGAGAATGTTTCCCCAGTGAGTGGTCTTTCTGTGTTTTAACATCAGAGGCTAACTCATTGGCTATCAGAGGTCACAACCTGCTGATTCTTGTGGTAAACTGCAAAATGGTTGTGTTGATTGTTTTTGTTTGGTTGTGGTGAATCATTCCATATCAAGGCAGTATTGGCACCGTGGATCTAAGACTTCCGTCTGAGACCAATGATGGGCTATTAACGTTCCAATCAACGCCTTGCTCATTTACATGTCACAATTGAGGAAGAGAGACTGCCATTTTATCAAACTGATGTATGTTGTGTAGCAACCACATTGTACAACTGGTTTTTCTTTTCTTTTTTTTTTTTAAATTAATTTAATGTTTTTGAAATTGTTAATTATCTTTGAAATAAAATCAATTTCCACTGCCCCTTCTGTGTAAAGCAATGTTGAATTAATTTTCATTTGCTGGTCTGGTGAATTAAAATCTAGGTTTATCAATGATTAAAATTTCAAATTTATGAATATTTTTCGGCTACAATGCATAACCTTCGTTTTGAGGGAAATTCCAGACTGACAGAGACCATATCTTAGATTTACCTAGGGATATGAGTGGGTACTTTTGCCCTATAAAGATGTCTGGAGATCCATGTTAAGTGATGGCACACTGTAGGGGTCATTGCTTTCATGGAATATCAAACAGCCGAAGGTTGAAGCTAGAACTCAAGTGTGTCTGTTATAGCCTGGCATTAAAACAGACAATCATTGGTTACGCCATGTCAGAATTCCTTTGGACAAATGTTTCAGATAGAGGTCTGCCAAGATCAATTTGTATCAATTACAGCTTCATTAATTAAAATGACATATTCAATTTAAAAAAAGAAAAGAAAAAGAAAAAAAAAAGCAAACAAATGGGTTTATAATAGTCTTTGTGCTTTTGTAGTCATTTGGAATCCTAGAGTCTCCATGTTTTAATTTTAGATAACTTTTATGATAATGAACATTTGAATATGACTCGGTGAAGAAAGTTTGGCTTCCATCACTTGACACTGCTAGGATTTGTCCAGGGAAAGTATTTCATTTCAACATTCGTTCGTATTACACAAGGAAAATAGTTTATATTTTCATTGCCTTATTTGAGTAAATTTGGTTGTCATTGTTTATTGCTTAGCCACTTATGTTAATTTGATATAAATATATGTTTATTACTGTTGTAAACAATAGAGTGTCACCATTTATTGCTATTTATATATGTATTGTGAAACATGTTTGTCAGTTCTAGAAATTAATCAATATTGTAATTAATTAGTGTAAATGTAGAGAACAAAACCAGTTTTAACATTTCAAAATACCTGAAATGTCATCTGTATTTGTCTGCAAATAACTTATATCTGCAGGTAAAAAGCCTGCCTTACATTTCTTTGTTGGACAATAAAGAGCCCACCTTTCTGTATTTGTCTGTCAAAAACCCATGTCTGGTAAAAAGCCCACCTTTCTGTATTTTTCGAGTGTCAATAACCCTTGTCTGGTAAAAAGCCCACCTTTCTGTATTTTTCGAGTGTCAATAACCCTTGTCTGGTAAAAAGCCCACCTTTATGTATTTTTCGAGTGTCAATGACCCATATCTGGTAAAAAGCCCACCTTTATGTATTTGTCTGATTGTCAAAAACCCATGTCTGGTAAAAAGCCCTCCTTTATGTATTTGTCTGAGTGTCAAAACCCATGTCTGGTAAAAAGCCCACCTTTATGTATTTGTCTGAGTGTCAAAACCCATGTCTGGTAAAAAGCCCACCTTTATGTATTTGTCTGAGTGTCAAAACCCATGTCTGGTAAAAAGCCCACTTTTATGTATTTGTCTGAGTGTCAAAGACCCATGTCTGGTAAAAGCCCACCTTTATGTATTTGTCTGAGTGTCAAAACCCATGTCTGGTAAAAAGCCCACCTTTATGTATAAGTCCGAGTGTTTCAATGACCCATATCTGGTAAAAAGCCCACCTTTATGTATTTGCCTGAGTGTCAAAACCCATGTCTGGTAAAAAGCCCACCTTTATGTATTTGTCTGAGTGTCAATAACCCATGTCTGGTAAAAAGCCCACCTTTATGTATTTTTCGAGTGTCAATAACCCATGTCTGGTAAAAAGCCCACCTTTATCTGTTTTGACCTTGATGTTCTGATCATTTGTTTCATGCCAAATGGAGAATGCCTGAATATGATTACTTGTGTTGATGCATTGAAGAATACTTTATATCATGATAATGGAATTAAACTGTATTTAACGAGGAACCAGTAGATACCCTCAGTGTGTCTAGACATTATGTTATCAGCAATACAGAAAAGCATACAAAGATTCATATATAATTTTTGTATCCTTGTAGCTTCCAACAGCAGTGGTGTGCCGTCCCCTGGATCTCAGTCGGATGAGGGGTCAGCCCCGTCAACACCTTGTGTGATGTCGTCCCCACCTCCAGACAGAGGTGAGTTAAAAGTGTGTCTTTATAGGGTAGACTTGTTCTTTCCACTGTCATATAGAGAGGAGAGAATTTCTGTATGAAGGTTAAACCTGTCATCTCCACTTTCAGTTAGAGGGGAGTAAGTTTGTCTTTCTGTATCATTCTTCCCCACCCCGAGATAGAGGAGTGTAAGTTTGTCTGTCTATAAGATATGGCCTCTCCTCCCCACCCCCAGATAGAGGGGAGTAAGTGTGTCTGTCTATAAGGTATGGCCTGCCCTGCTCACCCCCAGATAGAGGGGAGTAAGTGTGTCTGTCTATAAGGTATGGCCTGCCCTCCCCACCCCGAGATAGAGGAGTGTAAGTTTGTCTGTCTATAAGGTATTGCCTGCCCTCCCCACCCCCAGATAGGGGGGAGTAAGTGTGTCTGTCTATAAGGTATGGCCTGCCCTCCCCACCCCCAGATAGAGGGGAGTAAGTGTGTCTGTCTATAAGGTATGGCCTGCCCTCCCCACCCCCAGATAGAGGGGAGTAAGTGTGTCTGTCTATAAGGTATGGCCTGCCCTCCCCACCCCCAGATAGAGGGGAGTAAGTGTGTCTGTCTATAAGGTATGGCCTGCCCTTCCCACCCCCAGATAGAGGGGAGTAAGTGTGTCTGTCTATAAGGTATGGCCTGCCCTCCCCACCCCCAGATAGAGGGGAGTAAGTGTGTCTGTCTATAAGGTATGGCCTGCCTTCCCCACCCCAGATAGAGGGCTGTAAGTGTGTCTGTCTATAAGGTATTGCCTGCCCTCCCCTCCCCCAGATAGAGGGGAGTAAGTGTGTCTGTCTATAAGGTATGGCCTGCCCTCCCCACCCCCAGATAGAGGGGAGTAAGTGTGTCTGTCTATAAGGTATGGCCTGCCCTCCCCACCCCCAGATAGAGGGGCCTCTCCTCCCCACCCCCAGTAGAGGGGTAAGTATAGTGTCTGTCTATAAGGTAGTGTGTCCTGGCCTCTCCTCCCCACCCCAGATAGAGGGGAGTAAGTGTGTCTGTCTATAAGGTAGTGTTGCCTGCCCTCCCCTCCCCCAGATAGAGGGGAGTAAGTGTGTCTGTCTATAAGGTATGGCCTGCCCTCCCCACCCCCAGATAGAGGGGAGTAAGTGTGTCTGTCTATAAGGTATGGCCTCTCCTCCCCACCCCAGATAGAGGGGAGTAAGTGTGTCTGTCTATAAGGTATGGCCTCTCCTCCCCACCCCAGATAGAGGGGAGTAAGTGTGTCTGTCTATAAGGTATGGCCTGCCCTCCCCACCCCCAGATACAGGGGAGTAAGTGTGTCTGTCTATAAGGTATGGCCTCTCCTCCCCACCCCAGATAGAGGGGAGTAAGTGTGTCTGTCTATAAGGTATGGCCTGCCCTCCCCACCCCCAGATAGAGGGGAGTAAGTGTGTCTGTCTATAAGGTATGGCCTGCCCTCCCCACCCCCAGATAGAGGGGAGTAAGTGTGTCTGTCTATAAGGTATGGCTTTTTTCCCCCACCCCAGATAGAGGTGAGTATATGTGTTTTTAGACCAGCAAAGAGTTTTCAGTAGTATTGGAAAGTAGGTTTATAGGTTTAACCTATTTTTACTTAATGTTGCCAGAACATGATGAAAGCTCTCAGTTTACATAGACCAACATTGTCTGTAACATCTATATATAGAATGATGCAATCAATGTTTCCTAAGCAATGATGATATTTCAGTAAGTCCGTCCTTTATAAAGATCATTTTACATTCAATTGATCTTTGTACTGAAAGGTCTCACAGGTTAAATTTGGAACATACCTGATTTGTGAAACTGTCCTTTCTGAAAGGCTGAAATTTGGTTGCAATGATTTTATTAACTTGTGAACAGCACCTTCTTTTATTTATTTTTTTTTGTGAAGAAAACAGTAAACCATAGTTACTGAGTAAATAAATCTAATTGGGTATGTATCAAGGGACATAACTCCTACATACTTTTCATCACCAGCCTGTCTTATGTCAGCTACTGAGAAAGGGATTGAGCGGTCGCTATGTCTGAGGATGAAGTCTACACTGACAAAACGAGGAGTACATGTCAGGACGTCTGGGTATAGAGTAAGTCCTTCAACACACACTGTCCACAACAACTGTAATATCTCAATGTTTTAAAGTACCACCTACTTTAAACAAAGTTTACTCTCTTAGCAAAAGAGTTCTATACTTAACATTAAAACATCCTGCATAAAAGGTTAAAGATAATTTAATAATGTGATGATATTAAAGATTTCAGTGCTGATCTCTCAGTTTTACAAGGCATAGATAATGATGGTTTGATATTGTAACTATGATATCTAATTAGTGATGTGGTAGTTTGTTGGGTCACCATCTCAAAGCCAATCATATTTTTTAACTCTGGAGTCTGTGATGATTATTGTTCTTTGTTTAGACAAGACATGCATTTTCTGATTCTTTTCATTGGAGGATCTTAATAGGAGAGAAGGCCAAACAGGATTAAACTCAAGGTGTCCCAATACACTTTCATGTCCGATCAGGAAATCAATCTCCCCCCGATCTATTACTGCTCCACCAACTACCCATATAAGGTAAAATAAGTAAAAAAAAAAAAAAATATATGTATATATTTTCTATTTGTTTATCTTTTGCCCTTTTGATATTTACAGGTTGTGTATGTTGTTCTGAAACAGCGACCCCAGATCTGTTTTTCCCTGAACAGGAAACATCCCCAACAGATCATGGGTATGGTAGGTTTGGCCATAGCTTTGCCTCCTCCTACCATCACAGAGCTCCGTATTGAGAGCGACACCTTTATCATGAGGCTCAATCCGGACTTCAGCGTTATTTACTGTGATACAGCGTAAGTACTAAGTTATAAGTTGGAATTAGGTTCGGGTCAAAATTTCCCTGAGGTCACAAAACTTTTAATAAAATGTTTTATAAAATGAATCTTTTAATCATTAGAGGGTGCTGAATATGAGCCAAATGATGTTTTGACTTTTTCAAAATTCTGTATGATTTACATCGGAACGATTGAAAGCAATATAAATATCACATGGTGTTAAAGTTTATATCTTGTAAACAGAAAAAAAAATAAACAGCAACACCAGGTCAATTTAGAGAGTGAATTATTTCCTGACAGTTTTGTTTTATACAAATGAATTGGTAAAACTCTCACTGCTTGAAAATAGAATATGGAACTGTAACCTTGTTTTGAAACTGTTTCTTTGTCTGTCACATTGAACTGTGAATCTTGTATGTACCCTTTTTTCTGGTAGGATTTCCGAGCTGACAGACTGGTCCAGTGAAGATATCAATAATAAAGTATTGTATGACTTCTGTCATCCCGGTGACCTTAACAAACTACGTAGATCTCATTTAGACAGTGAGTTTCACAAAACTTTGTTTCTGTTTTATCAATGAACATCTCTCTCTGAACAAAGATCAAAATTAGCTGTCAGAATCAGATCAATGGTCCAGTCCATCTGGAGTAAACCAAACTTGTAATTTGAGATTGAATATCCCAGCTTGATCTTGACAGAGAGGCTTAATTGAATCAATTGGAATATTTATTTTACCAAATATGGATCGGATTCTAATCGTAGTTCAAAGTAAAATTAGGCTTTGTTATTATAATTCAAACAGAAATAAAATTAGACGTCATTAAAATTCAAAATAATATACATGCATCATTAGGCCTAGTTATTATAATTCAAAGTAAATTAAAATTAAGCCTGAAATTAAAATTAAAAAATGAAATAAAATTTGGCCTTTATCAATGTAAAATCATTCTTTTAAATTGTAGTTAATACAAAGGGCCAGGTGTTATCTGATTACATGCGTCTCATGAACAAGTGTGGAGGGTATGTGTGGATACAGGTGTGTGGGACGACTCTCTACAGCTCAAAGACATCAGACGACCACACCATACTTATCATCATCTACGTACTTAGGTGAGTAGGGTAGGATATGTACAGGAAGACAGAGGGTGAAAAGGATAAACATTTGATTTTGGCAAGTTTGATGAATTAAGAAAATTAAATTATTTGGAGTAGTAGCGGTATATGTAAGGATGAAACTGTCAACTACCTTGTTTTTCTGACAGGTTTTAAATTCTAGAAACATGTAATGGGAGCGGGTTGGTGTGACTTGTATATTGTGTTAAATACGGTCTCTGTCACTCAGCTGATGGAGCATGCTTCTTTGGCTCAGTTGGTAGAGGCAGTCAATTATCATGTTCGATTCCTGGTCGGGGCAATCACCAGGAATGTGTATTTTTCCTGTTCTTTCACAAAATATATTTACGTTACAGTGGTGTTGAATATGGGGGCTGTGTGATGGATACAAGTCAACTTCTGACCACAGGACCAACAGAAACTGACCATTCTGACAACACTGACCAAAGTGAGCAGGGCTCGGACCATGGTAATGAAGTTACAGGTCATACTACTGAGAGAAGTCTATTTCATACAAGATTGTGTGAACTTGATTACTCCCATAGATAGAGATATTCAAATTCATGATTTAAAAGGCTTGATCGTAAAATCATAACAACTTTGTATTAATTTTGTGTTAAGCATGTTGACCTGGGTGTTCACAGGGTAATAAACCCAGCTAACAAACAGTAACCCATCCTCAGTGATATCCCTGTGGTATCTTTCTTGTTGTCCGCCCATCTACCGACTTTGTTGTTTATATCGAAATTTAGAAAAAAAAAAAAAAAAAATCTAAAGTTTCACATGGTAATCCAAGTCATATCAGAATGATGAAAATAAGGCAAATCGGTTGGTTGTATTTCATGAAAGATAAAGAATTTTTAAAAATTTGACATTTCATAGAAGTATTGTTTGACAATTCGTAGTGCTTTATCTGTCCTGTCTGAATACATGTTGCTTTTGTAAACAGGAGGAAGAAGCCACCAAGATGCTCTTCATTGTCCTGGGGAGAGTCCTGGAGGTGACAGCAAGGACTCTCCAAGTCTGAGAGTCACATCACCTGTGTCCAGTTCTACAACAGTACAGCGGTCCATAAGGTTGGACTCTCGGGAGGCTGACAACAGTAATGACAATAAACCATTCATTGTGGATAGCTCACAGACCAATAACAATTTCCATTCCAAGAGCTGTGAATCTACAGTGAGCAACAGCTTACAGGAAAAAGTACATCTGTTAAAAAATGACTACAAAAATTCACGAAGAAAAGCTGACCGACCGAAGCGTCGGAGGCGCGAGTATGATATTGACTGTTTAAGTGCAGAGGTAGAGGATTTACAGTCATCCGTGTCGAAAAACAGTCCACTGGAGCGGGAGAGGTGCTGTGAAGTAACCTCAGCCTGTCAGAGCCATGTCATCATGGGCACTGTGGACAGTACAGAGCGGTCAAGTTGTAGTGTTCCCGAGGATCTCTCTCTTCACAACTTCACCATGAGGCAAGCCACAGTGGTTAGTACCCCCGGCTGTGAATCTCAAAGTAACATTGCTGTCAATTGTTGGCAAAAAAGCAACAAAGAACGAAAAAAGGATAGAGACATGCAAGAGAATCCGTCCAGTTCTGTTCAGGACTTGGAGGATGTCATGAATAAACATTTGCCAAATCTGACCAATCACATGGAAGCTGTTGTAAGGACTTCCCCAAATGATCTCGCGTCGAGTCGGCACATGTCTAGCTCACTACCGAAACAGCAGTCAACCATCCAGTGGCGGGCCAACACAGACACAGACACCTTGCCAGCATCCACTCTGTTACGGACGCTATACGCTAATAGGGAGTCTGTTATACGCAGCAGTGCTCGACCACAGTGTTTTAGTGGGGACAGTACCCAGGGGGTTGACTCGGTCGACATGCTCACCCCGCCCAGTAATGAGGGGAGTCTGAAGGAGCAACTCACCCTCAATATCCCTCAGATCACTGTGAGCAGTAGTAAATGTGTACAAGGGGGCTATACAAATCCTTTGTCTGTCACAGTGCACAGTACTCTCCAAGACAGCTTCTCAATGACACCGCCATCTTCTGTGTCGCCGGAGGATAAGGTCACAACCTCCTTCATGGAGACAAACTTTGATCCCTCTCCGGTTTCGTGTCACATGGTGACTGGGGCGACGGTAACTAACCCGGTGAAGTCCATGGCTCTGTCTCCCCAGTCACAGGTTATACCAACACATACAGACTATAATACCTGTAGCAAGGTTGGTTATGGTAACATGAGTCCGTATCAGATTGCTGAGTACCAACAGTATCTACACAATGGTGCACCAACCTCTTTATATGACACCCGACCAGAGGGCTGGTACCCTGTCTCCTACACATCCTAACCACGTATCACTTGGTCATCTTAACACACAGATGGACATAGTTTGGATTGAATCACTTATTGGTGTATATATATCAATTAATATGAATTAAAATCATTGAAAATTTACCTTATAATCTAAATACAGATAAGTTTTACGGTTATAGACCTTCACCCTAGAAAGGATTTAATAACGATATGTTAACATTCATATCAAGAGAATAGAGTTAATTCTATTTATGTCAACAAATCATGCAGTTCTCAAGAAATTGAACAACAGGGTGATTGGCTTTGAATGATGTACCACACATTTTCTAGTATTTGACTACAATAATCCTTACATGTTTTACTATGATATTTCTCACCAAAAATTGCAGATAATTGATAGAACAAATTATTGTGTTATACAGATTCTGATCCTACTTCACAGTACAAAGATTCTGTCTTTTGATTTTGTTTTATTTGAAAACTATGTCCTTAAAATTCAATGTTTCACTGATACTAGATGTGTTCCATGTTATGTTAATTTTTCCAGTTTTACAAACACTGCCATTATTGTGTTAAGTATGATTTGATTAAAGTTTTTTTTTTTGGTCTTCTAATAGATAAGATAAAGGACCATTTCTTACATAGCCAAAGAATATCAACTGCTCAGTCTTTTAAGGAAGTTAGTGCTTTAATTGCGTGTTCGTTTGAACATTTGTGCCAAAAGATACAAGGTTATTTGGTCCAAATCATAGACTTATTCCTCATGAGGATTCAGATTTCAATATGGCCCCCCTGGTTAGTGATTGGTGACCTTTGTTCATATTTTCCATTAAGTCAACCACGACCACTTAAGTTGATCACTGCAGATTGTGTTCCTCGGTAGTATTATTTTCAGTTGTTTATCTTTTCAAAACTTTAACTACAATATACAGAACTAGGTTTTTTTCTGTATTTTTAGTGTAGTGAGAGAGTACATTTATAAATAGGATGTGCACCCAACTATTTACTGTGTTAAAATGAAGAATGGAAAATCAGAAACTGTTTCAAGATAAATGAGCTTTGGTGTGTCACAAAAAATAGAAATGTGAGACACTCACACATTAAGTTAGATTTCTTTAAAGAAGAAACTAGAAAGCAAACTATATCATACGTTTGAAAACAAAACTAAAAAGTATTTTGTGCCTTTAGGCACAATTAAAATTTTTGTAGAAGCGAAGTTCTTATAACACAACCAGTAGAAGATAAGACTGACGTTTTGATGACTACACAGTCACCTTTATCAGACAAATGACCAGTGTGGAGCGTACTAGCCTTGACGTAAGTTGTGTACGAGATCTACATGGTCACCTTCATCAGACAAATGACCAGTGTGGAGCGTACTAGCACTGACAAATGTAGTGTACAAGATGGTACAGAATCAACCAACTTTTTCAGCAGCGTTATAATCCTGTGTACACTAAAGTAGAAAATAGTGTGACACGATGGTAATCAGATTATAGGCCAGGTAACACACCAGATGGTAACAATGTACTGTAGTCAATTCGGCTATGCTTAAATGTTTGTGTTGTTAAGACAGTTTCCAGTATATACAGGTTCCTGATCCACTTCAGATGTCATCATGAAAATTTCCACATTTTACATAACTTGTGCATTTTAAAAAGGAAATGTAACATACAGAAGTTTGAAATTAATTTTACATTATAACAAATTGCCTTTTTTAACTGTTTCTTCAAACTGCCAAAAATTGTTAAGTTTTTAATTCTTTTTTTGTTACTTTGAAATGACTGTCATGACAAAAAGATTACTTGGTACATTGTATATGTAATGATGTACCTATATATAGCGGAGAGTGCTTATCAATGACATGAACATGCATATATAGCATGGACATATCTAAACAGAAACTAGAGACAAGGGAGCTGTGATTACAAAGATAAAATAATGAGAACTATCGTCAGTTTTCTATCGTTAATGTTTAGGTTACGTGACATGATTTGAAATTTACAGACAATTATTGAGGTACATATAAAGTCAAATTTGACAAATTATGTGGTAGATAATACAGTAAAACCTGCTTAATATCATGTTCCATTTGTCAGGAGAAAAAGTGATATTAAGTGGAATGTGACATTAAAAGGTGAAAGGATTTTTAGACTTTTTAGCATTTTTTTTAATTAAGATTTATTTGAGTATTTCTGTCCTTTTTACATTGAAATCTTCCCAGTTATAATAAATGCATCTTTGTCTACATCAGTTGTATACAACTCATTCTTCAGATTCATGATGTTATTGTCGTACCAGAATAATGCATAATGATGAAAGTACATAGTAACCCGATCTCTAAGATCCATGCTATTTATAAAACAATGTATGATTAGGAATTAGCCAAGCTAATAGAACTAGATGATTTTTTGATTGATGATAATCATAGATACAGAGGTTTAGTGTTGGAAGACTTCATGTTTTATTGAAAATAAAAATCTTCCTTCATATAAATTGCTGTTTGAAGAATACAAATGTTAATTATGTTTTGTTGTGACAGGGGTTAAAAAAACAAGGATTTAATTGTTTAAATTCTACTTTTGATATCTGGGCTTTCAGAATATAATTAATTCTACGGAAAACAAATAAAAATTCTTAATCCTCTTTGTTGAATTTCCAGAGTACATTAATATCTCTCTCTCCTCCCTGAAGACCCCTCTTCCTAATTACCTAATTTAATTTATTGAGTGTAGGGCAATGGGTGAAAGGCTGTAACATATTACAACACCAGCTTGTTTTTATTATATATTTAAACAATAATTCATGTGCTTCATATTTAATAAAGCAACTAAAATGAATTAGAGATGAGATATTAAACTAGCGACATACGAGAAATATCTGAATGAACTCCTGAATGATATGTTGATTCAAAATTGTCCTGCTGTGGCAATCACTACTGTAGACAGATTTTTTGTCTCTTGAGGTTTTATATTGAAGAACAATCGAAAGTTGTTGTCTTGGTACCATGTTATTAAAGTATGGTAAGATATCAAGGGGAGGTAATCCATGTTCCCTTTCTAGATGACTGAAATACAATGTACATTTTCCATGACAATGAAAGTACAATATATGTTATGTTTACTCCCTTATTTTAATTTAAATATTTTCAAATTATAATATATATCTAATCATATATCTATGTGTACTTAATGCATAATTTTATTTTTAATAGAAATACGGTGAAGTTGAAATTTTAACTTTTGTTTGTTTTGTTTTATTACAATTACGTTGTATATGTAAGATATTTGTATTATTCAATTGATGGTGCTTAGAAGACATAAAAGATAAATCAATCTTTTGCTTCCATGGTTTAAACTTATTGTGTTTTTTTATAAACTGTAGTTGAATCTTATTATCATCTCGTAAGATTAGCATTAATTGTATTATAGATCATTGGATACAAATTACCGAGAGTGAGGAATTCCAGTTTGATTAAGATAACTTGTATGGAGTTAGAATTTTGTGTGTATGTTGACAGGAAAATTATAAAAAAAACAGTGAATTTACAAAATTACATATTGTTCATGGTCCTTACCTGCAACTGTCAGGTAATGTTAATATTGCATTTTCTTCCTGGAGAGTCGAGTTCTGTGACAGATCTGATCGGATCCTGGAGATATTTAGAACCTGATTTTGCTCATTAAGACGAATGCTTTTGATAGATATAGGAACATAAAGCTTCTTATTAAAGCACAAACCTTCAAAAGCATTGTCAGATATACATATATGTAGGTGATGATGGAAAGATTGAGCATCCATGTCAGTTTTCAGTAATTTATGGAACAGACAAGTGTGCCAGTTAAACCAGTTTGTATACTGATGTTTGTACCTAATCTTATCTCTCCATAGTGAGACTAAACTATAACCGTTTGTAGACTAATTTAAAATCTTATTCACAGTAATTGTGCATTAGCCACAGGTATTTGTTGTTGTATCTTTTTCTAAAACAGTCTTAACTTCATCATATCAGTTTTCATTCTATATATCAAACATTAATTCTGAAAGCAGGAAATTTTCTCAGAAATTACTTGAAATATATTCAATTTTCGATTACAGATACCAAACTATGGTGATGCATAGTCTCACTCGTCACACTTATATTATTAAGGGCATTTTGATAACAAATCTCCTGTGGTATAATAATTGTGTAAATCATTCTTCTGTACAAGTCATAATCTTAATGTGAATGTTGTTTTATACATCTTATTCAGGGTGCAAATGCCTGCTTATTTCCAAGAAAATAAACCTTCCAAATTAGATTTTGGGAAACCCCTAAATACGAGCCAAGAAAATCTCTCCCGGTCTTCTGCTGGTATTACCCCTCTAAATACAAGTCTAGGAAACTTTCTCTATCCAAGTTTTGATAAAACACCTCAAGCTAAAAGCTTAGAAAAACTGGGGTCATCTTATCAGTGTAATGCATACTGGTAACTCTCAAGATATGAAATTATAAATTCATTCCAAAAACCCATCCCCAAAATTAACAAGGATGGTGAAACAGCTCTCACCATTTAGGAGGAAACTAAAGGTACCCCAATGATAAGAACAGCTTTCAAAAATTTGAGTCTTGCAAACAGTATATATATAGGCCTGGAAAACCCCAGCTCCCACTCTTTTAGACAAGAGCTTGGCAAATGTTCTGAAGATCCTCCAGACATGAGCTTCAAAACCCCGTTTATGATGAGATCCTGCTGTTAAAACCCATTCTAATTATAGCCTGAAAAACCTTGTTCGATCAGAAGCAGCATTCACAAGAGAAAGATATGAATGTCCAGTGTCATAATATATCACCTTGCAATCGACCGTCATTCACTTTTAGTCTCATGCTTGTTAAATGTATACCAATTATTACCACCATGTTATAACATGGACTTGACTTTATTAGGATAAACATCCTCGTAAGCTTGTCATGTAGGCATACTTAATCTTCATCTTCTACAATCATAATTTACTGCTGATGCGTTCACGACTGCTTCAACTGATCTAGACACCTGCCTGGGTATATGTGTTGTACTGAATATTAGATTGTGATTGTGGTCAATGAGAATGTGAGAATCGAGGCAGTTGATAATAAATGTATTTTGGAGCAAAAATCATATCTTTTTGTTGTTTATTTCTGACAATAAATATTTTCTTAATCTGATTAAAACTGTATCTAAATTTCACTCCGTACAAGTATACAATTCTTAACGTAACAGCATTCTGACTTCTGACAAGTCCTGACCACTTATCCATGATTCACAGATGTTCAAAATCCTTTTGATTTTTAAATGGAGTGAAATTTAAATCTGGCTTTAATAATATTGATATTTCTGTCTCTGTATTGT